GGAACAATTCACCAGGAGGAAGTCTCAATACTGAATATCTATGCCCCTAATATAAAGCCTCCTACTTATGTAAAAGAAACACTTCTAGAACTCAAGGCAGGCATCAATCCACAAACACTAATAGTAGGAGACTTCAACACTCCTCTCTCACCAATGGACAGGTCAATCAGACAGAAACCTAGCAGAGAAATAAGAGAATTATTGGAGGTATTGAATCAAATGGACTTAACAGATATCTATAGAACATTCCACCCAAATAGGAAAGAATATACCTTCTTCTCTGCTGCTCATGGAACCTTCTCGAAAATTGACCACATACTGGGTAACAAAGCAAACTTTCACCAATACAAAAAAATATTAGTAACCACCTGTGTCTTGTCAGACCACCATGGATTAAAGTTAGAATTCTACAACAGTGCTACCCCCAGGAAACCAAAAAATTCATGGAAGTTGAACAGTCAACTACTGAATCACCCCTGGGTCAAGGAAGAAAAAAAGAAAGAAATTAAACTCTTCCTTGAATTTAATGAAAATAAAGACACAACATACTCAAACCTATGGGACACAATGAAAGCATTGCTAAGAGGAATGTTCATAGCACTAAGTTCCCAATTAAAGAAAACGGAGAAAGCACACATTGGAGACTTAACAGCATACTTGAAAGCTCTAGAAAAAAAGAAGCTGATACACTGAGAAGGTCTAGAAGACTGGAAATAATCAAACTGAGGGCTGAAATCAACAAAATAGAAACACAGAAAACAATCCAATAATCAATGAATCAAAAAGCTGGTTCTTGGAGAAAATCAACAAGATTGACAAACCCCTATCCAATTTAAACAAACGGCAGAGAGAGAACATGCAAATTAATAAGATCAGAAATGAAAAGGGGGACATAACCACAGACACAGAGGAAATTCAGAGAATCATTAGCTCTTACTATGAAAATTTATATGCCACAAAGTTGGAAAATGTAAAAGAAATGGACATTTTTTTAGATAAGTACCATATACCAAAGTTGAACCAAGACCAGGTGAACAATCTAAATAGACCTGTCAGTCGTGAAGAATTAAAAGCTGTTATCAAAAATCTCCCTACCAAAAAAAGTCCTGGACCAGATGGTTTCAATGCAGAATTCTACCAGAACTTCCAGGAAGAGCTAATACCTATACTCCTTAATGTATTTCACAATATAGAAACAGAAGAATCATTGCCAAACTCTTGTCATGAAGCTACGGTTACTCTGAAACCAAAACCACACAAAGACACAACCAAGAAAGAGAATTACAGACCAATCTCACTCATGAACATTGACGCAAAAATACTCAATAAAATACTGGCAAACCGGATCCAAGAATACATTAGAAAAATCATTCATTATGTTCAAGTGGGCTTCATCCCAGAGATGCAGGGTTGGTTCAACATAGGCAAATCTATCAATGTAATCCATCATATAAATAAACTGAAAGAAAAAAACCATATGATCATTTCATTGGATGCTGAAAAAGCATTTGACAAAATTCAACACCCCTTTATGATAAGGGTGTTGGAGAGATTGGGCTTACGAGGATCATACCTGAATATAATAAAAGCAATATATAGCAAGCCAACAGCTAACATCAAATTGAACGGAGAGAAACTCAAAGCCATTCCACTAAAATCAGGAACACGACAAGGCTGTCCACTCTCTCCATACCTCTTCAATATAGTGCTTGAAGTTCTAGCAATAGCAATAAGACAACATAGGGGAATCAAGGGGATTCGAATTGGAAAGGATGAAGTTAAACTTTCGTTATTTGCAGACGATATGATAGTGTACATAAGAGACCCCAAAAACTCTACCAAAGAACTCCTACAGTTGATAAACACCTTTAGTAATGTGGCAGGATACAAGATCAACTCCAAAAAATCGGTTGCCCTCCTATACACAAAGGACAAAGAAGCAGAGAGGGAAATCCGAGAAACATCACCTTTCATGATAGCCACAAATAGCATAAAATATCTTGGGGTTACTCTAACCAAGGAAGTGAAAGACCTATTTGACAAGAAGTTTAAGTCTTTGAAGAAAGAAATTGAGGAGGATACCAGAAAATGGAAAGACCTCCCCTGTTCTTGGAATGGGAGAATCAACATAGTAAAAATGGCAATTCTACCAAAAGCAATCTATAGATTCAATGCAATTCCCATCAAAATACCACCAAACTTCTTCACAGACCTTGAGAGAACAATAATCAAGTTTATATGGCAAAACAAAAAACCCAGGATAGCCAAAACAATCTTATACAATAAAGGAACTTCTGGAGGCATTACCATCCCTGACTTTAAACTCTATTACAGAGCCACAGTGTTGAAAACAGCTTGGTATTGGCATAACAACAGAGAAGTCGACCTATGGAATCGAATAGAAGACCCAGATACTAACCCGGGTATTAACCCACAAACTTATGAACACCTCATTTTTTTACAAGGGAGCTAAAGGTATACAATGGAAGAAGGATAGCATCTTTAACAAATGGTGCTGGCGTAACTGGATGTCAACCTGTAGAAGCATGAAAATAGATCCATATCTATCACCATGCACAAAACTTAGGTCCAAATGGATTAAAGACATCAACATCAATCTGTCCACTTTGAACCTGATAGAAGAGAAAGTGGGAAGTAGTCTACAAGATATAGGCACAGGAGACCACTTCCTAAGCAGAACCCCAAGAGCGCAGTCAATAAGAGAATCAATGAATAAATGGGATCTACTGAAACTGAGAAGCTTCTGTAAAGCAAAGGACACTGTCAGTAAGACAAAAAGGCTAGCTTCTGACTGGGAGAAGATCTTCACAAACCCCTCATCAGACAAAGGTCTGATCTCCAAAATATACAAAGAACTCAAGAAACTAGACACTAAAACCCTCATTAACCCAATTAAAAATTGGGGTACTGATCTTAACAGAGAATTCACAACAGATGAACTTCGAATGGCCAAAAGGCACTTAAGGTCATGCTCAACCTCCTCAGCGATCAGGGGAATGCAAATCAAAACAACTGTGAGATATCATCTTACACCTGTCAGAATAGCCAAACTACAAAACACCAGTGATAGCCTATGCTGGAGAGGATGTGGAATGAGGGGAACACTCATCCATTGTTGGTGGTAATGCAAACTTGTGCAGCCACTGTGGAAGTCAGTGTGGCGGTTTCTCAGGAAACTGGGAGTCAACCTCCCTCAGGACCCAGCAATTCCACTCTTGGGAATATACCCTAGAGATTCCCTAACATCCTACAAAAGCATTTGTTCAACTATGTTCATAGCAGCACTATTTGTAATAGCCAGAACCTGGAAGCAGCCTAGGTGCCCCTCAATAGAAGAATGGGTAAAAAAGGTGTGGAACATATACACATTAGAGTTTTACTCAGTGGTAAAAAACAATGACATCTTGAATTTTGCATGCAAATGGATGGAAATAGAAAACGCTTTACTGAGTGAGGTAAGCCAGACCCAAAAAGAGGAACACGGTATGTATTCACTCATAAGTGTATTCTAACCATAGTTAAAGGTCTTTGAGCCTATTATTCGAGATCCTAGAGAAGCTAAATAAGAAGATGAACCTGATGAAGATTATTTAGCTATCTGCCAGGAGGTAGGAAATAGACAAGAGTCCCAGGTAACCTTGGGTGCTTGGGGGGGGAGGGGGGAGGGTTGTTGGAAGGGGAAACGGTTAGAGAGAAGGGAGTAGGGGAGGAATGGGGAAAGCTCGGTGGACCGGGATGGGGGGGAGGGAGGAAGGATGAATATGGGATCAGGGAAGAATATATTTCAACTAAGGGAGTCATATTAGGCTTTACAGGAGACTTGATTATATATGGGATCCCAGATCCAAAGAGAGATCCCCAGATTGTTCTCTGGACAGAGGAGAGGGTGCCTGAACCGGCCTTGGTCCATAACCATACTGATGAATATTTTGCTTATCACCATAGATCCTTCATCTGGCGATGGATGGCGATACAGACGGAGACCCACATTGGAGCACCGGACTGAGCCCTCCAAGGTCCAAATGAGGAACAGAAGGAGGAAGAAAATGAAAAAGGAAATGAGGACTGCGAGGATGCTATCACCCACTGATACAAGGGGACGGATCTAATGAGAGCTTACCAAGGCCACTTGGACTGGGACTGAACGAGGACGTGATCCAACCAGATTCTCTGATTGTGGCCGGATTCTCTGAATGTGGCTGGACAGGAGTCTTTCTGAAAAGCCATTGACAATGACACTGGGACTTGTTTCCTCTGCATATACTGGATTTTTGGGATCCAGTCTGTTTGGATACTCACCTTCCTGGACCTGGAGAGAAGGGGGAGGAACTTGAACTTTCCACAGGGCAGGAAACCCTGACGGCCCTTAGCGAGGAAGAGGGAGAAGGAGAAGGAGTGGGGGGAGTGGGAGGGTGTTGGGAGGAGGTGCAGAAATGGAAACTTTTATAATTTAATAAAATTACTTAAAAAAAACTACTGATTGATGGAAATGAATCTTAAAAATCAATGTCATCATCCGTTACAAACTGTTTTCCCTCAGTACACAACATTCAATTGGTTCAAAATTAGAGGAAAATTTATAGTAAAAGCACTCGGTATTCAAATAGTGCTCATAACCGTAAATTTGTTCATAAATTGAAATGTTTAACTGAATCTATTGTTTTCTACAAAATAAGTTAATTTTAAGCAAAGTAACCTCAGTGACAAACGCATTTCATTATTTAGTTAGATGTTGAAGCTCTTGCACTAAATTTTTACAAGCTGGTGAACACTGTCAAATTATTTCTCCCACAGAGCTATAACCACACATTCCCAGACAGTATAAATATATGGTTGAACTAACATTAATACACATCACCACTTTATCGATTACATAATAAAACAAATGATCAAGTATCCAATTATTAAGTTACACAGCTGAAAGGCATATAAAATATGTCTGCTCAGTTCATCAGCAGATCCCATGTCTTCTTTTTTTGCAAGAGAGGTTGGGAAGAATGGGAAAACCATAATTCAAGCAAGTTGGAAAACAACTTCTGATAGGTATGGAAAAAAAGAATTTCAGAAATTTTGATTAAGAATTGGTTAGCTACAACAATGTATCTATACTTTTTAAAAATATTTACTAAATTAAAGACCATATTCTACATTTTCTGCACAAGACAAAGGCAACATTTACTAAAAATACTTATTAATAGCCTCCTCTCATTCTTTATCAGGCCCTCCCTGTAAGTTGCACCTTTGAGTGCAAACATTAAATTAACTAAGGCTTTTTGTCTGGAGACATTATTGAAGATATGTGCTTCTGTAACAAAGTCGATTTTCAAATGGAGGTTTCCCATAACATCACAAAGAAAGACATAAAGACAGCACAAGACTTGCTAAAAAATATTGATGGCTAAGCAAACCTAATGTATACTGGTATGAGTGTGGGAGATGTAAACATAGAGTGAGCAGGCAGATAACGAGAAGCCCTGCAGTATTTGAAATGACAGAAGGAATAAACCATGGAAAGAAGGTCTAGAGTGTTCTTAGTTCCTGAATTTTGGTTCTGTATGATGCTAAAAATATACAGGTATTGTGATGGGTATTTTGGCACCTAATCTTTCTAAATCCCTTATATACTAATAATACTCTGGCACAGGATACATATAAGGACGTAACTCAATACCATATTTTAGGAAAGGTCAATTGGTACAAATAATAAGCACATTTTAAATGCTGACCAGCAAAGATCTTTTGTTAAGTGTCCAAACAGGTTGATCATAACCCAAATATAGAGGATGCAATTCTGTCAAACTTGTGGCCTGGTAAGACTGGTTTTCAATATTCCCATGGAAGCTTCAGCAGACTTATTCAATAAGCCAACATGTTGGCTAATTATGTATGACAAATCAGGTCCCATCTGAAGTTCCATTTCCAAGGCAATGGCATCAGGCACCCCAGTTTTATTGGATACAACAGTTGTTTCTATGACCATTGGAATCTTTGAAGCGAAGCCGCATCTTAAGACGGTAATTCTCCAGATACAAAAGTTGCTTGCTGTTAAAAGCTCCACGCCGCTTTTGTCTTATGAACTGTACTGCATCTTCATATTTCATTCCACCTTCAATTAATGCTAGGGCAACAAGCACTGGAGCTCTGCCAAGGCCTGCAACACAATGGACAGCAATACAGCAGCCAGGTTCTTCACGAAACTTAATCTTTACAAGACTTAACCAGTCATCAACAATTTGGTTGGATGGTGGTGCACCATCATCAAAAGGCCAGTCAAGAACACGAATGCCTTCTTTCTCCATGAGAGTAGTGTCGTAAGTTGCTTCACACATTCTTGCTATTGTGGTAACTCCATACTTCTTAAGTTCCTCTATAAATTTGTTTAAGGTCGCATTGGTTGGATTGTGTGTAATAAGGAATCTCATGTTCTTGGCTCTGGGCTGCGGCCGGCTCGGCGATGCTCCTCGGGCAGCTCACTGCATGGTCGTCTGGTGCCCCCACCGCCTGCATCGCCGCCACCGCCGCCCCGCAACGCCCACCGTCGCCTGCCCTACTGCCGCAGCCTGCGCCGCCTCGGGACCGGCTGTATGATTAGGCCACAATCTTCAATGAGTAGACATATTCCTCAGTTCTGTGGTGTTCTCGGTCACACATTTATGGAGTTTCTGAAGGGCAGTGGAGATTACTGCCAGGCACAGCACGACCTCTATGCAGTCAAGTGAACTGTAGAAATTCATTACTACTCCACCAAGAAGCCCCCATAAGAGTGGATACCTGGACACAGACGTGTTGAATTGAAATCTGCAGAGCATTTTACAAGAGCTCAGACCTGGATGGGGTAAACCTCAGTGCACTTCCTTTGTATTGCCTCAGTATTACTGGATTGAAGAATCACTGCTTCTTGTTAGGAGGTTCATTTCATTGCCCATTTCTTCCAATTTCATACTCAAAGCACTGAGAATTTCAAGTGGAGTATATTGAATATTGAAGTAGACTTCAGGTTGTTTTCTTTTTGTTTGTTTTTGATTTTTTTTGCATCATTTCTGTATTCAATTTTTTTAATACTTTCGTAACTCTATTGGGTGTTTTTTTAAACTAAATTAACATGGCTCGAATGAACCGCCCTGCTCCTGTAACACAGTAAAATTACATATGCAAAACAGTTACCAATAAAGAATTATGATTATAATATTTAGTCCATTTACATTTGGCAAAATAAGGGAAATAGTTTATTATCTATCTTATCTTTGTGAGTTTAAAGTTTTATATCTAATCTATATTTTATCATAACTAAGGAAAACTATCATTATAACTATTTAATCTTCAACTCCATCAAAAACAGCAGAAGGATATAATATTACCTAAGTAAACATCTAAAGTTTTAGAAATGACAGAGACAACTTGTTGCCTGGACAAACACCTAAAGTTGTTTTGTAACATTGAGGCATCCATCTTCAGCCTATAGGCTGACAATATCTGGCAGACTTTTCAGTAAAGTAGGAAAGAATTTCCACAACACTACACATGCACTCATTAATTGAGAAACTTATTCAGAGATAGAGCAAACATAGAAGTACACTGAGCACTTGAAAAGTTAAAAAGAAATTAAGTAAACTTAAGGAATATAGTAAGTTAAATAACTAAATCACAAATTTGGAACGCATGAGAGTTTGAGCCATTAGGTGTCACTTGTCCTGCCTGAGTCAGAGACTTAGTAACTTTGACATTTGATGAGTTATTTGAGTTGATTTTGCTTCACTGTCATTATCTTCTAAAAATAAACACTAAAACACCTATCTCAAAAGGATTGACCTGAGTGTTAAATAAAAATATACATAACAATACTGTTACATGATATGGGCTCAATTAATGACAGTTGCTATCATTTATCATTGCCTTTTCATTTTTAGTAAGCCCATATAAATTTATGCCTCCAAAATAACTATTGGATTAGTTTGGAGGAAAACAACAGCAATTATTAGATTGTCATTTGACTGTTATTTTGACTGGCATGACTAAACCAGTGTCTCAGAACTACCAATGTATGTTGAAAACCAGAAATTGACTATCTAATTAAGTCTAAACTGTTGATCCAATAGTTCTGTGTATACACATAGGTTAATTATGATTTCTTCCATTTAGGTACTGCCTTCCTTAATATGTCTGACAGGAAAGTGATTGGATTTTAGTGATTCATTTTAAAATTTATACCCAGAGGTTCCAAAGCTTTAATTTAGCTTCATTAGTGAAGCGATTGGGTGTTCCTACCCTAGCTAGCCTGATACTGGATTTCACATTTTCATCCAAGTTATCTGTTAATGGACACACTAATTTTAGGCAAATTTTCAACCTATGGGTAAAAGGCACCAAGTCTGGGGATAAGAATTCACAAGAGAGAGTATCTGAGTATATGTGTGCCCACAACAAAGAGGTAGTGAGAGGAGGGGGGGGAGAGAGAATTTCCAAAGAGAATGAAAGTAAATATTTACAGTTATGATGGCTTTATAAGGATCAAATTGTCAAGATTCACCATGTTATACTGGCTGCTCACGGACTGGGAAAGCATTCCTTCTAAGCGCTGCAGTGTGGCCTGCCCTTCTGCTGTTAAATGGGACAGTCCTTTTTCATAGGTGTAAAACGTAGGGATGTCCCCCTGCCCTTGCTCGTGAGCTTCTACGTCGTACTCTTCTCCATCGTAGTCGTCAGAGTCTTCATCCTCCAGGTCTGGATGCAGGGCCTGGCACTTCAGTATAACATGGCGGGAGTGCGGGCAGACGATTCCGTAAGAGAGTATGAAGATGGCATGGAGGTGGATGCCGCACCGACGGTTGCTGGGCAGTTTGAGGATGCAGAATTGGACCACTGAGGATGCTGCTGCTGCTGCACTATTCTCTCAAACCGGTAGGCGAGAACTTTGTGTCTCTCCCACTCCAGAGTGGGGCCGGTGAAAGGCTTCTTTCTCTCCAAAGCCCACTTTTCAAGACAGACTATACTGAGACAGCAAATGTCACCAGCAGAAGAGACTGACCTTTGTCAACAAAGGCGAATTAACTGAGTTGGTATTTGTAGCTCTCATTCACCCCCAGACCTGTGGCTAGGCGTCTCCTGGGTAGACCTCTCAGTTCCTGCCTTTGCTCTGTGCACGTCTGTCAGCTGCAAGCCTGCATAGTGAATGTACAGAGCTCATCCTGTGTAGATTGGCTCAGAAAGATGCTGAAGCTTAGACATCTCAGACTTCTGGGGCCTGAAAGAACTCTTGTCCCTAAGATGAAAGGTACTGGCCTCATGGGGCATGCTCTAGCACTTCCACAGAGGCATTTGTCCTTTACTAGGCTGACGCCAGGCCAACTCCTGGGGAACCCTCAACTATTTCTTCTGCTGTCGGCTCTGTCATGTTCTCCCAGCGAGGTCCTTGACTGTCACTCTTAGCTTTCTATAACAGAACAAGTAGTCTGTAATGATGTCCACAAGGTACTCTTCATGAATCTTGTCTTTGTAATAGTTAACAAATAAATCTAGGTTTTCTATGTCAAAATAAATAAATAAATAAATAAATAAATAAATAATTGTAAAGATTCAGACTAACATTGCAAAAATGGCTACAATGCAGCAAACAGCTGGAGAAACTGAAATACAAAGAGAACACTTTTTTTCAAGTTATAAAGGTTACATAGTTTTAAAATCAGTAAATATATGGAGAAAAAAGTGAACCAGCTCACCCTCCTGACTCATTAACCAGTTAATATTCACGTGGTAATATAAAATAATTAACTGAGATATGGATTTGAGTATCCCCAGTAAGAGAAGAACCAGAGAAAAAGAGCTGAATTTGTATACTTAAAGGAAAATGCATGACAATGTCACCTTAGTATAACCCAGCAACTAATCACAATCACTGAAATCTAGTCCATTTCACTGGCTGTGGAAATCAGCAATCAGAAGATGAAATCCTCAAAGGAAGGAACACTGGCCAGGAGGCTCCAGGGCCATGTATCTAGTTTTCAATCTACTAAGATCCTAAGAGTAGCTGACATTTCTCATAGAACTTTGATTACTCATTTAAGCAGAAAACATTATTCTCTTGTGGTGTTTAGGTTCTCAAGGGCAGGGACCATGTCTGTCTTGCTCTATGCTATGTTTCAAAACTCTGAAGAAAATACTAATGCATATTTATCATTCAACAAACATGTATTGAAGGAATAAGAATTTGAAATGGAGAGTAGGCCTTGAGGTTTAACTTATGACCATAGAGCTTTCAAGGGGAAACAGAGCTCTGTGGGCTCCAGAAGCAAGGTAAGGGCCTATTAAGATCATTGAATGTTGCAATGTTCCACATATTGAAGAACTTATGACTCTAACTGCTAGACTAGAAAAGTTGCCTTCAGTGGTCATAGATGCTTTATTTCCCAAAAGAACATGAAAAAAATTATGAACCTACAATTTATAATGTGTCATGTTCTATACATTGAAAATAAATAGTCTCTATCTAAAATTTAACAAGTATTCAGTAAATTTCCTTCTTCATGTATTTGAATGTAATATTCCCTGTCATTTTTAACATGGTGTTATAAATGAAGTGTGGCCTGTATAAAATCCCCAGAATGCCTGGTAGAGATATGCTGGGAATATGTAGCTCTCTGACTCTCATTGTTCAGCCTCCATTTATCACTGCTTGCTAAATACTTAGAACACTACCTCTGCTTAAAATACTTGGCTTACAAAGCCTCTAGCGCACACAGTGTTTAATTATGCTGATAGTTTTGAAATCATGTTATCATAGTGTTTTGTTCCCTGTACTTTTTTTTGGGGGGGGGTCATTGAACCTCTAGTCACTGAGGTATCTTGATTTTTTAAATATTTATTTATTTATTAACAATTTCCACCTCTTCCCATCCTCCCATTTCTCTCCCTCTCCCCCTAGCTCCACTCCCCCTCCTTCTCCAGTCCTAAGAGAAGTCAGGGTGCCCTGCCCTGTGGGAAGTCCAAGACCCTTCCCCCTCCATCTATGTCTAGGAAGGTGTGCATCCAAAAAAACTAGGCTTCCAAAAAGCTAGTACATGAAGTAGAATCGAAATCCATTGGCTTTTCAGTCTGCCCTCATTGTCAGACACATTCAGAGTCCGGTTTGATCACATGCTTGGTCAGTCCCAGTCCAGCTGGCCTTGGTGAGCTCCCATTAGATAAGTTCCACCGTCTCCATGGGTGGACGCGTGCCCCTTGTGGTCCTGACTTCCTTGCTCATGTTCTCGCTCTTTCTGCTCTTCATCTGGACCTTTGGAGCTCAGTCCAGTGCTCCAGTGTGGGTCTCTGTCTCTATCTCCATCCATCGCCAGATGAAGGTTCAGCCTGAATGGAACTCCTCAGCACAGGAACACGGACTCCTGGTAGTCCAGGGACCCCGCAGACAAAAGGCTATACCTTATTTTTTTAAG